GACTCATGTGTAACTTGTTTAATCATAATATAATCCTCTGGGGTGAGTGCTATTTGATAGTCAGAGCGATTTACTGTTATAATTGGATTAGTTGCAGTGCACTTGAACTTTTGGCTTAGCAAAATCACCAGTGCTTTGTATTCTGTAATAGGTCAATACTTCGTTTGGTCTTATCATTCTATTTTCTATTGTTTTTCACAGGAAAATGATTTTATGTGTAACATATAACATGCTTTGGTGGTATACAGGTTAAGCTCATGAGATCACTTTTAACAAATAGCTTGTATTTCCAAAACAGTTATATATGTTTGACTATAGTCTTTTTTTTTTTTTTTCTATGTACTTAAATCGGTAAAAATTCCTTGAATCAACAAACAATAGTACATAGGATTGAAGTTATATGAAAATCATTTTAGCCTCATCACATTGTTACAGTCTATGTCATCACATTTATATTCATGCTGTATCTGATGGTCATGCATTTTGACATTAGTTTCCATAAATTACAAGGTCCATAACAAGGTTTTCATGTTCAAAGCACACCATTTCTCCTGCGAGCTTTTCATAATCCATCTAATTTACAAGAATAATGGTTTCCCAGCATCCATTTTAACAATTCAATCACAGAGAAATTCATAAGCACTGCACCAAGCAACTTTACTGATATGTTTTTATATGGAATAACATTAATACCTATTTCATTCTCTAGCTACTTTACGTATTTCAATGAAAGAACTGGAGATATGACTATAAGCCTTATCTTGGTGAACCTATACCCTATTGACCTCCTTTATGTACAAAGCTTGTAGTTCTGTGTTGTTCCATTAGTCTAGATCAGTGTTTCTCAACCGCGTTTTGCTCGTTGCTCCATTTTGAGTTTGATTTATCTCTGTGGCCCCACCCTTCGTAGATGCTGTTACTAAGGAAAAAAGTTACTTTATTTCCACACTGTTGATTTAAAATATATTTATAATATTATAATATTATTTTTGAATATTTTGTTTATAACATACTGTTTACCTATACAAGTAAAAAATATTCTGTTAATTGTTGACATTTTATTCAGTGTGATCCTTGAGCCTGATGAAAATTTGAAAGTTTTTGAATGTCCAGTTGCAGTGTGGTCAGTGATAAGCGAAGATCACCTCTCTTCACAACATCAAGGCGGTTACGTATTTTTGATAGCAAATAATAACCCGACTAAAACCAGATTTAACTAGTTAAGATGTGGGAAAAGCAATAAAATATAACTTTGCCTTCTCCCAGAACTGTGTAAACTTATTAGTATTTCACTACTTATCTAGAAATAATATTTGTCGTGTTTGAATCTAGCTTGGGCTGTTATATCACTCTGCTGCTCTTGAGTATCATTTGAAAACATTCACAGATACTAGACAGACATTTTGATTTTTACTCGAGTACTAGTCGCATCTGGTAACTTGACTTCTGAGCTGTGTGGGATACAGGGAGAAGGGGAACTTTGATTAAATTATAAATATTTTATTTGGACAGTGAAGTTTTGGTAGCCCACATACAATTTACTGTGGCCTCCTGGGGGGCTGTATGGCCCATGTGGAGAACCACCGGTCTAGATCAGTGTTTCTTATCCTGTGGTGCACGCACCCCTTAGGGGTGTGAAACATGTCGGTATTTCTATTACAAATAGGGTTTCTCCTTTGGTCTCCTGAGATCACTTGATAGCAAATTGATAGTAAACATTCTATACTTTTCAACCATAACTATGCAACACTAGCCATTACAAATTCTCCCAAGCTAGTCATTAAAGTTCCAATGGGAATGAAGCTTCTGTTATAACTGAAATTGACATCTATCTGTTGAGAACAAAATGTAATATAAAATGTCATTTGGTAGATGGAAACATTGACTTTCTGTTGGTTATAGATGATATATAATTAAACATAAGAAAGAACTATTAACAAATCCTGAAAGGCAAAAGGTGCAAGGACATATTCTGCAAACCGATTGGGTGTGGCTCCCAAAAAGGTTAAGAACCATTGGTCTAGATCATTGGTATGGTAGTGCAGAGTCCACCTTAACCTTTTTATCCATCTCATGATCTCTAACTTGTTCCCTGGCACAATATCCACCAACGATCATGAACCCCTTTAAAAAAGTTTCACAATATGCTGGATACCACTTCTGGAAATGTTTTTCACCCATCAACCAGTGAAAATGGCACAAGATATTTCACAGTTATCAAGCTACACTTGAATTTTATTGTGTGTTACCATTTTTTCCTGTCATATAGTTCCTTTCAGTTAGTCTTCCTTTCATGGATATCTTATTTAAGTGCCACTGTCACTAATTTTGAACTAGTGACTAGAGTTTATATGAGTATAAATGTATGCTTTTTGAATTGCTGACTAGAAGGAAGAAAACTTTTTGACAGCACCTGCAGCTAAAATTTCTTTTTCTTCTTCCTGAACTGCTGACTATAGGGAAGGCAACTGGTTGGGAGCATCTGCCACAAATTTCTTCTTTCTTGTATTTACCGTGGTTTGATAAACATTGTACTAATCAATGTAATCCATTAATGGGGCTATTAGTTGATTGATTAGCAAATACCATTTACTGCCTAGCTCTACTTGTGTCACTTTTCCAGGTGGTGATTCTTCTTGATTATTTTGGATACTGTAGGGCATGTGAATGGCTTTTTGCACTGACTTTTGTGTTTGTGAATTCTCACCTATGACAAAACTCCACTCTTTGCTTATCAACTCTGGGGGTACAACTTGTTGCAGGTTTCTTTCTAGATGGTCCTGGTGCCTTAAGTGATTCATGTTCATTTATTTCCCAATGCCTTTAAGTATATGGCCATCTCTCAAAGTGATTGATTTTCGATTGTATCACACAACCTACAAAATGCTAAGTCATTTTAAAATGTAGCTTTACATTCCACTGTGACTTCCTGATTTACTTATTCAAAATTATTTTAATATAATGTACTCAACCTTTTATACTGGTTTTAGATGGGTCATTATGATAAATACTTACAACTGTACATCCCACTTCATCATTGTTTTTCTCTATACTGTAACTTTATACTAATGAAACCATCATTTTACAGAATACTTATAAAATGTAGTTAGTTAATTGTATTTCACATCACTCTCATATATATATATACAAGTAGCTGATTTACTGCATTTATTTCTTTAGCTTCTTTTGTTGTTGTTTTCTATTGATGTGAATGTTGTTAGTAAATTA